GGCCCTGGTTCCTCAGCTGCAACTAGAGGGAAATACCCACCTGCTAGTGTTAAGAGGTGCAACCTCTGACAAAGCCTTTGACAAATAGCTCACGCTTGTCGTGAACAAGAAACAACGTGAAAAACGTGAACTTGCCACTCCACAAAGTGGCCTTGAGCCTCGAAGTCCGTGTCTTAACACCCACTCATTCCTTAAAAACTTGTAATAGAAAAAGGGGCACCATTCCCAAGCCGTGACCCGGCACCCTGAGGCCCGCACTCGGCTCTCTCGTCTGCAGAATGGGGGTAACCGGGCGGTGAGGGCTCAGTGCTGGGGCGGGCACTACTCTCCCTCTGTCCTGTTACTGCTATTACCCTCTAGGGATTCCTCTTCAGATCAGCACGTTCTCAGCTAGGAAGCACTGTTAACTCAGCAATAGAGATTACGCCCTCCCTATCTATGGGAGGGGAGGTCACCTGGACACATCCAGGCTGGAAGAGGCTTCCAGGGCTTGTAGGTCACCTTCCTGCAAGGTTAACCTCCTGCCCCTTGCCCAGGGCCCCAGAGGCCCATAGCAGCTCTGGTGCACGCTGCTGGCCACCCTGCCCACTCAGGACAGCGTCCAGCTTTGCTCGGGTGAATGGAATTGATGGAATGGCCAGTGCATCCGAATTGTCTGGCAAGTCTGAGAAAATAACTGGGCAGAAAAACCAAGCACTGTCAGTTCACCCACACACACCTGGTTTTCATATTCAAAACTCAAATCACAGGCAGCCTGACCAGCAGAGGGGCCTGCCTGGGCCACAGAAGCCTCTGCCGTCTCCAAACACCGCCGTGCGTGTCTGTGTGGACATATGTCTTTCTCCTTCTCCTTTGTTTTTTTAAAGATTTATTTATTTGTGCTTACAGAACTGGGGTACAGGCCAGAGGTTCAAGGGCGGCAAGAGGCTTCACCAGAGACAGAGTGGGGAGCAGAACAGATCTAGGAAGTACACTGCTGAGGGGAGCAGCGGGCGGGTCAGGAGAGGTCTGCCGCACCATGTGGTCACCTCCGGGGCAGGCGGGGATCGAACTCACGTGGAAGCGGCTGTAGCTTCTTAGTGCTGTGCTTTAACCCGCTGCACCACCAGAGAGGGACTCTCCTCCTTTTCAATCATCCGACATCCAGAAAGCCCATGGGCCTCTCACGGGGCCACACTGACAGAGGGCAGCAGACCCCAGAGATCGGGCCTCGTGCCTCCAGGACTTGCTGAGTACCGTGTGAAATCTGGGATTGATGACAGTGAAAAATGAGTGACAGAGTGGTGCTGTCCTTTCCCTCAGGACCCTGTCCTGCCTGTGGCTCAACAGTGGAAAAACCACAGGTCGGAAGCAACAAAGCCGAGGCTCCTACAGGGACAAGAGTGAGCTGTGGGGAGCCCCTCCAGCCTGTGGGGGTTCCGAAGACTCAGGTGGGGTCCTCACAGGGCAGCCGCTGATGTGAACAGGACACTCAGCCTCTGAGCTGCCAGGGAACCTACAAGCCCTATGGAACATGGATGTCAAGGCAGCGATAGTGGGGGTCCCTCGTACAGCTGGTGGGTGGGGCCCCCAGCCCCCCGGAGGGATTTGGCAGCGCCTGTGAGGGGGAGGATGCCCCTCGAGGCGGGCAGTGTGCGTGACCCTGGGGGATAAGGCCTGCAGGAACACACAGGGCCCAACTGGTTGGCAAGAGGCGTGGCAGGTGGGGCACGATAGGGAGCCCTGGGAAATGCCCACAGGCGCACGTTACTGGCACCCTCTGTCCTGCAGCCCCTGGAGATGCACTTGCCCACCCCTGGCTCATATGTAAGTGTTTCTGGCCCAGCTCTCCAGGGAACGTGGAATTCACAAATGAAAACAGTACCAGACTCCCCGGAAAGCTTTTCAGTGTCTTTGGCCAGGAGAAGGTCCCCTTCCACAGGGGCCTGGACCTCCCACTTATCCATGTAACCCAATTTGCGGGGCCCAGAAGGCCGCTCACATGCAGTCAGCGCCCGCAGAGTCATCGATACCACTTTCCAAATCAAGTTACCAAATGGGTCTTAAAAGGGCTTCAAAGGGCCAGGCCGCCTGGAGCAAGGAGGCGGCAGCAGGCCAGCAGGCCCACGTCCTCCCGCCCTACGTCCTCGTCCTGTGCCGAGGCACGGCTCGCTGCCTGTGTCCATGCAGGAGCCCTCCTGCCCCCCATGCCTGATGCCCCAGATGGAACTGGGGTTACCAACTTAGAGAAAGCAGATCCCTCTTGCACAGCTGTGGCAGGAGACCAGAATCAAGGTGACGTGTGCATACCTGCCCGCCCAGCCCGGGGACCCACAGCACCCTCCCCACCCCGTGTGATAAGCTGGGCCAGCGATGCTGAGAACCAGGCTGCCGGTGCTGCAGGAGGCCAGGAGGAAGCAGCGACCCTCCAGGCACCACAGACCTGCGAGCAACTCGAATCTGAGTCCAGCACCTCCTGGCCACGTCCCCACACGCGCCCCTGTCCTCACACACGCACGTGTGTGGGGACGGGGCACGCGTGTGTGGGGACGGGGCACGCGTGTGTGGGGACGGGGCGCGTGTGGGGACGGGGACGTGTGTGTGGGGACAAGGGCGCGTGTGTGGGGACGG